TCTCTCTCTCTCTCTCTCTGAATCTACCTGCGCCGCCCCTCCCCCCATCCACCTTTCCTCTTTGTCCACAATTACGATGCCGGTCTCCTCTGTGGACTGTCCTGTCTTTCCGCCCGTAGAAGCACCTGGGGCATGTAATTTACAGAAAATCAGTTATTGCTCTGCCAGTAATGGGATAAAGAGCATTTGCGGCATGGCATGTTACTTTTTCTCTCGTTTCTTCCCCCTTTTCACCAACAGCCGCTTCGTCATTAGTCTCCGAGCGGCCAGCGGCCCGTCTTACGTAAGCAGCTGCCATTTTGTTTTTGTTGTTGTTTTTGTTGTTGTTTATTTTTCTTGCTATGTCATTGTGACTTCTGATCTTTACGTCACTACCTGTCTTTTTGTACCGGCGTCTGCTTTGGTCTTTCTTCCGAGATGTTGTGTCCCTCTCAGCCCGCGGGAGCCCTTATAAGTAGGGTCGGAAGCCCGCCTCCTAAATGATTCAAACTGTGTCGATGGGGAAAGGCGCTTACATTTATTTTTTGAGAAGTTTGCCCGTTTTCCCCTAAGCTGCTCTTTAATGAGGATGTTCTGTTGTGCTTAGTGACGGCATGTCCGCCTCGGAATTTTGTGGTCCAGGGCTCCAATCCTGCTTTCTGGCGTTGAACTGAGGGTTGGGAAAGACTGTAAAACACTTTGCCCCGTTTCTCAGATTGAATTTTCTTGTTGAACTGAACCTGAATATAGCTCTGCTCTTTGGTTCTTTTTATTTTTCTTTCGTGTCATATTTCCAGGCTTTCTTCTGTACCTTTGTGATTTTAAAGTCGATGATTCATTAAGATGGGTGGTTGGTGGGTGTGCTGTGGTGTGGTTTGCTCTTCCCTTTGTATCAAACATCTGTCGTCCTCAGCTCTCCTCCTTTTTTGTTTGCTACTCTCGTGTAAAACCTCTAAATTTCGGTACTTATATGACTCAGTTGTGTTACAAATGGCGTATAACTCATACTAAAATAAAATAACCAACGCTTCACCCGTATTTATGTACACATGTTGCTTGGCCTGCCGTCGATTTTCTGTTGCGCCTGGAAACTCTGTCACACGTGGTTCAGTGTTTGGCCTGGGATGCATGTGAAACATGGGAAAAGAAAACACCAGGGATTCTTCGTCCATCCATAATTGAAGGAGTTCCTCGAGCTGACTATAGGCTGTCCAAGAGCCCTGTTGATTACCTCATTTAAATTTAGTGGCTTCGGAAAGAAAGTAAAGAAGGGAGTGACTAAAAAAGACCGACCTTTTTCCTCTCTGCCATTTCGTCGTTTCCGCGCTCCGGACTCCCCGCCGGCGGGGGCTTGATTGAGATCGATCTGTGACCCCCGGCTTTTAATCCGACGCCCCTGATGAGGGAGGGCATGGCAGGTATCGGACGACGGCCTCAGTGCATGTTTGGATTAGAGTCTCAGCGTGTGCCCTGAATGGGTTATCAGGACAGCGAGGGTCAATGCGAGAAATTGTGCAGATATGGGAGCAGTTCCGTAATACATTATGTACGAGGTCAGAAATCACGGGACTCGGTCCTCGTGTGCGTGCAGGAGTCGTGAACTCTGCTGGTGGGTGGTCGATGGCTGGATTGTCTTGTGTGGTCTGCGCTGCTCCCTCTGCATCCCCCAGCATTATTCTGTCCATAGGTTTTCTCGTAGTTCTGTCCCCATCCGTTTTTGGTGAACTGCTTCCGGGATCGTTCTAACCCTATGTGTCAGCAACTATTCTTTTTTTTTTTTAAAGTGTACCCGTTTGATAGAATCCCATCTAGTTACTTCCTTTTTAAACATAAATTGAAGGATACGTAAAGGAGATCTGACGAAAGTTGACTCTTTGTTGGGGGGGTTTTGGTTAAAAGCTGTGCAGGGGAAAGTGTCCTGTCCTCGGCTGTGACGTATGTATAGAGGCCCCCCGCGGTGTTTGTCAAAGTCCTTTTACATACTTGTTTCTAAAATGTTAACAATTCGTGTGTCTCGTTAAAGTTTGGTTTGCAGGACGGGGGAATGTAAACTATGCACTCAAAGTCAACAGTTGATTAAATATCATAGTTTTTGTGCATTAGCATTACTCAAAGAATTTTATTTGCATGTCACGTAATGGGTTTGTAATTGTGCTTGTGTAAGAGAAAGAACCGGTTGTGACTTGTTCTGTGGAGTAGCTTTCATGCCAGTGACGATGTGTCTGCAAGTTTTCGAATTCCTTTTAGCCATTCTGTACCAGAGGGTGACGGCGGCCTTGTATTGGTCGTAATGCTATTTGTAAAATAACGCTTGCTTAAAGATATGAGTTGTGTGAAGTTATTTTCACGCTTGCCGTTGCATTGTCCATGTCTCTTGTTCCGTTGCTGATGTCTTTTTTACGTTTTTGTATCTTGATGAACAATTTAGTACAATCCACAACTCTTCGATTTCATATTATCCGCTTTAGTTATATGTGCATGTTCGCGCGCATGCTTGCAATTTGCTTTTGTAAAGGTCATAAATAAATGAGTTGTGATTGCTGTATTTTGCCGTTAAGTGATTCTGTGGCTTTCTGTCGGGCGGCAAGGCCCCAGAGCTTATTCCATTAAGCGTTCTACATTGATGACTCTGTATGAGCTGTTTGTCTCCTGGTAGTTTTGTCTGAAAGATTTGGCCAAATTCAATATACATGTCATTCCCATTAGTTTTGCACTGTGCCAGTGCTTTATGTGATTGCATAGCTGCAGAGAAAATTAAGTATCGGAGGTTGAAAACTCTGAATAGGAATGAATGTGAATAATAATGAATGAGGGGGGAACAGTTAGAGGAAAAGTTATTATGTATCTATTGGCAATTCAATGTTTTGTGATGTCGAGATTGATGCGAAAAATGCTTGTTCAATGTGAAATTACTCACAGACTAAATCATGCGGATGCCGCTGAATCAACGGCCAAAAAAATATCACGTTCTCCTTAGAGACAAACGGAATAAAGTAGAGTCACCTGAGAAGAGATAGGAAGCTGTGCGAGTTTGTGAAATAACATTGTTGTCTGAAAGAGTGGCCTGAATCTTGAAATAGGAGGAATAATGCGCATGTGGGGTTGTAGGGGGAAGGCGTTGTGGCAGGAGTAAAGGGGGAAAGTGGAGACAGGAAAAGAGATTGTAAGTGTATCAAAATTGAAATTGAGTTTATAAATACGGTGGATGGCCGAGTTGGCCCCGGGGAATACAGCTCTTAGGATTTTGGCGTCGTGTGGTCGCCGGGCAGATTGGTCCAGCCAGTCTATAGGCGGTTGTTTGGCGAGAGTTCTCGTTGCGGCTGTCTGTGTCTCATCTCTTTCAGTCGTGTGTGGACTTTGTATTCGAGCAGTTTCAATTACTATGAATGAATAAAATGAGCGAAAGAGAGAAAGAAGACGAGAAAGCGAGGTTGTTTAGAAGAGAGTTCTAACGTCTTTCTTATTTTTCCTTTATATTTTGTTTGTCCCGTCATACGTTTTGTTTATATTTATCATTCATACCTTGTCTTTTGGTTCTTTCATTCCATTAATTTTTCGTCCTCTCTGACGTTATCACTATTAATTTTTCGATCCTTCTTTCTATGGTTGACGTGGGCGGTTGGCGGGCACTCTGGTGTGTTCTGCTCCTTCTTTCCTATCAAACATCTATCATTCTTATCTCTCATTCTTTTTTGTGTTTGTTACTCTCTTGTAGCACCTCTAATCTTCGGCACTTATATGACCCTATTGTGTTGCAAGTGCCGTAAAACTCTTACTAAAACTAAAGCTGTGATTGACATGTCAGCTAAATGTCTCTTCTCTTTCTTCTCGTTTCAGCACTATACCTCGATGGTCCTCCAACAACGGATTGGTGGACGATGGGTCTCGCGACAGGTGAGTACTGAACCGGTTAACATAGTATTTATATATACATATCCAAGCGCACGCACGCACGCACACACACACACACACACACACACACACACACA